TCACACCTGGAAATGCACAGACGTTACTCCTGGCTCTGCACTCAGGAATCACTCCTGGCGGTGCTCAGGGGACCATATGGGATGCTGGGAATTGAACCCGGGTCAGCCGTGTGCAAGGCAAATGCCCTACCCGCCGTGCTATTGCTCCAGCCCCTATAAAACTATTCTAAGGATTAATTTTTGAAGTCATGCCTGTCATGCAATAGTCACAGTAGAACTAAGTAATGGTTTTTCAATACGTGTTAGTAATAAAATTAACATTAATTTTCTTCTCACTTTTAGTTTTACAGTTAAAATCTACAGCTGAAACTCAACGGTGCCAAATTGTTTTTTCTTTTGAGGGTAATTTAGAACTACACTCAACTTTGCTCAGACTTACTGTTTGCTCTGTGCTCAGGAATCACTTCTGCTGGTGCTGCGCCATACATAGTGCCAGGGATTAAAAAAGGTTGGCTGTGTGCAATACAAACACCTTAACTTCTGTATTATCCCTCCAGTGGTGTAACAAATTGCCTTTAATAAAATTACAAATAATTCCACAAATAAAGCTAAAAACTCACTGTTGCTGATTCATTTTATCGGACCTTCTATTTAAATGTAAGAGCATTATTTTATGTAGCAAAGATGAAGCAGAATGTACATGCAGTTAATTTTTTCCATCTAAATGACTCAAAAGTACAATATGTACATGTTTTTTAAAATGTTCTTTTTTAGAGACTCTTTCTATTCACAGATAAAGGATTCTTCCATTTACCGCCTAGTCTTTTCCAGTTATAATGAGTTTTCTTCATAAGAGAGATAAAGTCATGAATGGAATATAGACAATTTTAATATGACTAGTATAAAATCAATATTTTCATTGGAACTTTTAGAGTTGAGAGTTGAGTGCTAGAAAAATACCTCAAATAAATGTGTTATTTGAAACTTATACATTATGCTTGTTTACTTTTCTTGAATAAATGTTCCTTTTCATGGTAAATATATCAAATAGTGACTAGATTTTTAATATTGTATTATTATGATGAAGTAAAAATACTGTGTATAGTGAAACTCCTCAGAACAGTACACACAAATATTGATGGCATTTTGATTTGAAGAAAAATTATGATGACAAAGTGCTGTCTATTGATTATTCTCTCTTTTTCTCTTATTTCATTCAGCTTTTCTGAACTTTATAATTTTCTCTACTACACACAAAACTTTTGTAATCCAAATATAGTTTTTATTTAAAAAACAATTCCAATTTAATATTTAAGTGATCAATAATACCAATCAAAACTCTTATCATGTGACACAATGAACAGAATAAAAATTTAACCAATAAAAGAGAGAAGATATTTATAAACTATGTGTTTAATAATGATTTACTATCCAGAGTATATAATTTCAAATAACTACATAATAACAACAGCAATAACAATTCATTTAAAAATAAACTGAATAAACATTCTTCCAAAGAAGACATACTAATGTCTAACAAATGTATGAAAATAAGCTTTATAATTACTAGGGGAATAATGTAGACCGAGTTATAGTAATTTAAGCCCTATATCCCCATTAGGATGACTACTATCAAAAACTCAAAGAACAACAAAAGCAAGTATTGGAAAGGATGCAAAGTGCTTGGAACCCTTTCAGTTCCATTGGAGGGAATGTAAAATAATGCGGCTGCTATGGAAATTGTAAGATTGTTTATCAGTAAACAGTGCTATCTCCTGGCCCTAATGTGAAAATGAACTAAAGCAATCTACTTAAAGCACAAAGAAGAATATTCAACAGCGAGTAAAACCTCAGAAAGCTATTATTATTGGTATTCTTATTATTTTTTAGTTTCATTCAATAATTTAATTACATAAATGATCCTGTACTAATAAGCCCTGAATCACGGTATCATGGTATCACAGTCCTCCCATTGTTCATCGATTTGCTCGAGTGGGTCCAGCAATGTCTCCGTCATGAGACTTGTGGTTACTGTGTTTGGCATACGAATACATCACTGGTAGCTTGCCAGGCTCTGCCGTGCAGGCAAGATACTCTCGGTAGCTTGCTGGGCTCTCCGAGAGGGGCGGAGGAATCGAACTCGGGTCGACCATGTTGGCCGCTTGTAAGGCAAACGCCCTACCGCTGTGCTATCGCTCCAGCCCCGAATAATATTTAATTATCTCAATTATATAGTTTTATTAGGTACACACCTTTTTCTATATTTTACATTATTTCTTTAGGCAGACCACAAGAAAAATATTAAATTAAAATTTGTGAAGATTTTCCTGTTACTTTCTTTACTCAGATTCTTAGTTTGCCATCAATGAATAACTTATGAAAATAACTATTGCATCATATTTTTGTCTTTATGATAACTTCAAAGATAAAAAGTGAAAGCTTCATTTTTATGACAAATCTATTTACTGATGTGTTTGACTGGTTTCCTAGGCAAAATAACTTGGGCTGCAGCTACTCCTCTGGTTTGAAGCTTTGGCTTCACTTTGGGTTTACTCTCCTTCCTTGTCAGGTTCACTCTCCTTACTTGTCTATTCCTGGCTATTGTTTTCCCCTTATATCAACTCCTTATTTAGCCTGTCTTAGGACAAGTTGCTTGATTGATTTCCTCTGCCTGGAGTAAGTTAATAAGCTAGTGTACCTGTTGGGCATCCGGCAGAGCCAAATAGACTTGCTACATAGGAATCTAACTCAACTTCGATGGCTTCTGATGCCAGTGTTGACCACAATGCTGACAGTGTGATCATCTTCCAAGAATGAACATGATTTAGTAAAAAGGTGCCCTATTAGCAAAGCGGTGTACAGCTAATTAGCTAAGTACAATACTCCAAGGAATGTCACAGGCACTAGTTGTATAGAAGTATATATGCTTGTGACATTAAAATGTGTGGAACTTAAGGCTTTACTTTTGCAATTTCCAAACAACTCAGATTGGAAACACGAAATAATGATGGGAGCACAAGCACAAGCACAAGCATCCTGTTGTTCGTCGATTCCCTCGAGCAGGCACCAGTAACGTCTCCTTCATCCTAGCCCTGAGATTTTAAAAGAGCAATTTCAGTGCTCTTTCAGGATTAGAAGAATGAGACCCATCATTGTTACTGGTATTTGGCACATTGAATACGACACAGAAGTTTGCCAGACTCTACCGTGCAGGCAGGATACTTTTGATAGCCTGCCAGGTTCTCCAAAGGGAAAAAAAAAAAAGATAATAAGATGTCCGCTTCTGGGAGCTGGATTTTATATTCTCTGCGTCTTGGCCATTGATGGGATCAACCTGGAGCTGGCAGCAGCTGGTGGGTATGACGCCTACCTACTGGAAGATGGGGGTCTGGTTGGAGAAGGCCCAGTCCCAATCCGAGTAGGCTTGGAGACCTCAGCCCCGGGACCCGCATGCCTGGGTTCCTCTGCCAGTTCTTTCATGCATGAGGCCCGTCCGGATGTGTGGAGAGTGGTTCCAGCATGGCCGTGGCTGGCTCCGGAGGTCCTCAGCTGCTGGGGCTCTGCTCGGAGCGGGGAGGGGGGAGAGAAACTCAACCCTGCCCCCTCCAAGGGGCCCCGGTGAGGACAGCCAGGCGCCAGGAGACCCCTGGCCTGATGGGAAACTTTGTTAAAATTATACTGCTCTAGTCCATTGCTTTCTCTGTGACCTTTCTCTCCTCCCTGTTCCAATTCAAATGAGTTCAAAAATATCTTCTAGGGGGCTGGAGCGATAGCATAGCTGGTAGGGCATTTGCCTTGCAGGCAGCCGACCCAAGTTTGATTCCCAGCATCATCCCATACGGTCCCCTGAGCACCGCCAGGAGTGGTTCCTGAGTGCAGAGCCAGGAGTGACCCCTGTGCTTTGTATATATATATCTTCTGAAGATCAATGTGCATTTAAAAAACCAGTCTTCCCACAAGTTTCCAGTCTGATAGGAGATGTCAGCCAGTAAATTAATAAATACAAAAGAACAATAACTATAGCCAGGATAAAGTCCTCCGTAAAAGAGGAGCTAGAAAGATAGTGCAGTGGATAGGGTACTTGCCTTGCTTGTGGTCGACCCAGGTTCATTCCCAGCCCACTCACATACCTGCCTTACGTCTCAGTGACTACAGTAATAGAAAAAACTGATTTAGAAAAGTGCAGTTATTTCATCACTTATGTTACATACGTTAGGTCTAGTGTACTAAGAGAAATTAAGGCATTAAGAAATGAAGACATGGGGCCAGAGCGATAGCACAGCGGGTAAGGCGTTTGCCTTGCACTCGGCAGACCCAGATTCAATTCCCAGCAACCCATATAGTCCTCGAGCACTGCCCAGGGTTCCCCGAGCACACCCTGAGTGCAGAGCCAGGAGTAACCCTTATGCATAGCTGGGTGTGACCCAAAAAGCAAGGGGGAAAAAAGCAGATAAAGAAATCCGAAGACCCAGACCCCGTTCAACTAGGCTCCTTCTCTTCACCCTCGGTTTTGCTCCAGCTCACGCTATTGCTAAGGTCACACTAAAGGAGTGAGAAACAAAAAAGAAATCAGTGACTTCTTCCTGCTTTTAAATCAAATTCTAATGTCTAACAGTGACTTATAATCAGTGACTTCTTCCTGCTTTTAAATTAAATTCCACAAAGTTCGGGAAGCTCTGCAGGGGGAGAAAACGCCCAGGCTGGATGAACTGATTATTTCAGACGCCTCTTCTGCGGTCTCGCTGGGGCAAGGTCAGAGGGACGCCGGGTGGGCGAGGAACCAGGTCACACTTTTAGCCTGGCCCGTCCTGAGTCTAGGCCCCGCCCCCTGGCGGCCCAGACCACGCCTCTGGGCGGTCCCGGCCCCGCCTCCCACCCCGGCGGTCGCGGCGTCCCTCGACCACGCCCCCTTCAGGCTCCTCCCCCGGCTCCCGACCCCGCCTCCCGGCGTTCTCCCGGTGTCCCGGAACCGGGCCGCTGGCGGGGGTGGAGGATCGCGCTCTCCCGCCGGCCGCTAGGGGGCGCGGCGCGGGGACGCGTCCGTCCCGGAGCCGCGGTTCGGTGGCCATGACGGTGCCGACGCGTGGCCTGTCGCTGCTCCGCTGCCGTGTGGGCCGCGTGCGGGCGCCGGGGCCGGGGGGACTCCGGGGCTTTCGGAACAGCGGCGTCAGGTACGAGCGCACCCCCTCCCCCACCCCGGGAGCGTGGTCGTGCGGGGTGCGGGGGCCTGCGGGGTCCAGGCCGGGCCGGACGGCTGCACCCGCGCGTTTCGGCAATGCGGGGACGCGGCGGCGCGCGTGGTGCTGCCCGGGTCGCGCACGCCCGTCTGGGCTCGCGTGGTCTGTGTTTTCCTAAGCAGAGAGGTGGGCGTCGTCCGGCGATCTGCAGTTCCTTTGTGGATGAGGTCTTGCCCCGCCTTCGGAGTCGGCTCGGGTTCTGTGCTTGGATGCATCACACTGACTCTGGGCTGCCCCCTAGCACCGGGATGGCCTTGATCCTTCCTGGCGGCGTCTCTTGAGGACTGTGTTTTGGGTCGGAAACGGGTGTTACTAGTGCGTTGTGAAGACGAAAGCACGCGCTTGGAACTCGGCCCGGTTCAGCCTCTGGATTCGGTCTTGCCTGGGGTTAGGTTGGTTGGTTGGTTGGTTGAATTTCCTTGTTGGTGCGTCCTGATCCCCTCTTAAACCTGCGATTGCGTTTATCCACCCGCGATTCGTTGCGACTCCGCGGACTGTGTGGTCGGCTGGAAACTTGCACGTGTGGGTTGCAAAGGCAAAGCATCCTGGTTTTAACTCTCAGCCTTGTTGCACGGGATCGCTCGGCCCCGTCCCTCTTGCAAACACACCCGGGAAGCTAAAAATATAGGCTCCTGACCCAGAGCTAGTGAGACTAGAAGAGACTTTTTTTTTTTTTTTTTTGGCAGGCGTTGCCATCAGTGTTGCTTTCATTGCTACCTTCATGTCCAGAAAGGTCTGTCTTGCTGTTGCAGTGCCCAGTGTCCAGTACAGGACCTGGAAGAAGGTCATAGTAAAATATAGCTGCTGCTTCTTCACTTGGTTAGATCCCTATGGAACCCATCTGTTTGAATGTGGGTCGTCAGTGAAAGTGAAGAATTCTTCCTATAGAATCTAAAGTTTCTAGTGAGCCGACCAGGGTATGCGAGAAAGTAACTAGGATTCATTGGTGTAAGTTCTCTTGGTGTCTAATAGAATTTGCCGGTTGGTTTGAAATAATCAATTCTACCATCAAGGGAAACGATACTCTCTATTCTATGAAAGAATGATTGGGGACGTTACCCACTAATAGTTCTTTTTACCACTACAGTCCCTCTGTTAGGCCATTTTTTAAAAATTTTTACTTTTGATTAGGGCTTTTTATTTTTCCCAGAATAAGGGCAACCTTTTCCAAACTCTGCAATTTATTTTACTTGGTCAGGTTTGACATAATCAACACCACATTCTTATTTTCTTCATGTCTTTGAAAATGGGAATCACTGTAGTTTCAGTTACAACAGTTGGTTCCAGCTATTTGCTGTACGCACACACAAGTTCATGGATAGTTCAGAACATTAAAAATTATATCTAATAATCTTAAAAAATTAAAAATAGTCAAAGAAGCTATTGTTTTCAACTCTTATTGATGCAGATCACTGTATAAAACTTGCCAGTACTTTAAATCAGGGTGTTTTTTTTGGGGGGGGCACACCCAATTGTGCTTAGGGATCATTGCTTTGAAAAAATTTGGGGTGCCAGGTTTTCAAACTGGGGCTGACCGGATATAGGGCCAGCACCTTCCCGCTGACCTATCTCTTGGGCCCCCCTTTTTTTAAAGGTTTTTGGGTTTTTTTGTCTTTTTTTTTTTTTAACTGCAGGAAGTTCATAGGGTTTGTGTTTGGCAAACCCAGCATACAGAATACAGTATCTGAAGGTGAGGTCGCTTGAAGGCTGAGAAACACCTGCGGACTGGCGGTCTCGGGTCGGGAGGAATTCAGACAGTGTGTTGATGCTCATTGGTGTCTCTTTTCTCTTCTAGGACCAGCAGAGAGAAGAGATTCCATCCTCCAGAGGTCGCCACTGTCTGCCTCCCCACTTGTCCCCCAGCCTCAGTCATCTTTTTAAATCATAGAGTGACACGTTGGCTGTCATAGTGGATGTGGCTTCAATCTGACAGGATCACATTGACTTGAAATTTGAATCTTAGTGTTGAGTTACAGACACTTAGAATAGTGTCTGTATACTGAAATTCTGTCTTTGAGTTTGATCCACTCTCTCAAAATTTGCAGTTTGAAATCTGCAGCTCTATTACTAGTTTCTGAGCTAAATAGGACCAGATTTAAAAAATGAAAAACGTATTTTTGATTATTTTTAAGAATACTTTAGATTTATAGAGTGATGAAACATACTTTTTAATAGCAGGGATTTTTTTTTCTTTAAAAAAGTGGGATTTCAAGAATAATGTTGGGCAGAATTTTAAAGTTATGCATATTTGAAAAATCATTTAACTTTTTTTTCTTTAAAATTTGCAGTTTCTCTTTACTCATAAGAGATTAGATTTTTTCTTTGGAAGAAAATATATTTGATATAAAGGAAGTAAATAAGTCCTTACACTGTTACAGCATGTTCCTTGAAGTGAGCCAGCTAACAAGTTAAAAAATATTTCTTAGTGGTTAAGTTCTTGCTATTTGTCTTGTTGTATGATGAGTTTAGAAATCAAAATGTCCTTTGGTTATAAACACATGATAATAAATCTTATGAATCTTTGTGTGTGTGTGTGCATATGTGTAAAGTGAGATAGTTTTTACTGAATGAAACTTCCTTAGAAAGATTGAGGGTGGGATGGAGGAGGATTGGAATATGTGTTCTAGAGAGAACAAGAGCTTCGAGGAGCAAGTGAGTAAGCAAACCAGCAAAGAGGCATCGAGACAGTGAGTTGGGTGTTTCCGGGCTGGAAGAGCAGGTCTTGAATCTTAGTCTATTGCTTTTCTCTGTATAGAGTTGGGAAGTTGATTGTCCCTTTTCAGTACAGGAATGCCAAACTCAAAGCATGTTGCAGTTATCCTCTAATAGGGATTTTTTTTTTTAAACCCTGCTTTTGATCATCCTACCTGAAGTATTCATTTTCATGAACTAAATGGATATCCCAAGCATTTGTGATGTGTTTAATCTGTTGCTTAATGGTTCCTAAAAAGATTATTGTGGCAGATTTTCTTCTTCCTGTTAATACCATTTGTCAGATTTTGTGTACTAGCCGACAGCTCTTTAGGGATGCTTCACTTTCTTTAGGGTTCGGTGCCAATGGCATTTAAACTCTTGAAGTGCAGCTAAGGCAAGTGCTTTTTTTTTTTTCTAAAGACATTTTTGGAGTTAGTAAAAGAGTGGTTTTTGTGATTCAATAGTTGTGGGTCACAAATCACAAATCATCCTGTTAATCGTCGATTGCCTCGAGCAGGCCCCAGTAACGTCTCCTTCATCCTAGCCCTGAGATTATATTCAAGGCTCTTTAGGAGAATGAGACCCATCATTGTTACTGGTATTTGGCATATTGGTACGCCACGGGGAGTTCGCCAGACTCTGCTGTGTGGGCAGGCTACATTCGGTAGCCTGCCAGTTTGTCCAAAGTAGGAATGAGATAATAAGATGTTGCGCTTCCGGGAGCTGGGTTTTATAGTCTCTGAGTCTTGGCCGCTGATGGGATTACACAGCGCCAGGGGGCCAGTCGGTGGGTGTGACCCCCGCCTACTGGAATTTGGAGGATCTGGGTGGAGGATGCTCGGCCCAAATCCGAGTAGGCTTGGAGATCTCGGCCCCGGAACCCGCGTGGCTTTGTCCCTCTGCCAGTACCTTCATGTGTGTGGAGAGTGGTCTCAGCATGGTGGTGGCTGGTCCTCGAGGTCTTTGGCCGCCGGAGCCCTGGTCGGGGCGGGGAGGAAAGTTCAACCCGCTCCCCTCCAAGGGGCCCTGGCTTGGGTGATCGGTAATTGACTTTAATAATTAAAGACTTTAAAAATCCATTAGACTTTCTTTTAGACTCTCCGCTGTAGTACTTACTCAGTAGTTCTGTGTTTGCAGTGAAGTGATATAAAAGTATTTTTATCCTCATGTTAAAAACTTAAAGGACCCAGGCCCTGTTAAAACCATAATTAAAACTGATTTTCTATAGCCTGATTTTAACCAAGGTAGAATTGTTTTCAATGACTAGGAAAGGCAGTTTTTCAAAGAGACTAAGTTTCTTTTATATACATTTTTAATTAAAATTTTGATTGAGTCACCATGAGATACATAGTTACAAAAGTTGTTCCTGAATTTTAGTCATACAATGTTCCAGCACCCCTTTAGCAGTGTACGTTTCCTGCCACCAATGTCCGCAGTTCCCATCCCCACATCCTGCCTCTATGGCAGTCACTTTCTCTCTCTCTCTCTCTCTCTCTCTCTCTCTCTTTCTCTCTCTCTTCAGTTTTCCTTTTTAAGCATTGTGGTTTGCAATATAGTTACTGAAAGGGTATTGGGCGTATCACTTTACCTCTTTTCAGCACTCAATTCTTGTCCTGAGTGAGCATTTCCTACAATCTTGGTCATAGTGGTCCCTTCTCTGTCCTAACTGCACTCTCCCTCTCGCTTTGTGGCAGACTTCCTACCAGGGACAATGTATTTTAATGTAATCTCTCCAAAGTCAGTTTTTCTGGATCAATGGAATGAAGAACTAATCTCATCTGGTTGTTCATGGCCTTCGTCATAATTTAGCATTTCTTTAATAAATTGCATTCCCCCCATGCCCAGTGCTTTGAACTTATCTTTTCATGGTAATGTCCTGATGGAGTGATAAGAATGGGACCCAGGGAACCTAAACCAGATCATCTTTCATGGTCTTGTCTTTTACAGAATTCTCTGGTGCTCAGTGAAATTTTAAAATAGATAATAAGGTTGTGGAGGGAGAGTTACAGAAGTAGGAACTTGGGATAAGTTTAAACAGTCAATGAGTGAGGTAAATTGCTGATTAGTAACAAATGAGGTTTTCTGTGAAGTGTAGTTTGATTAGGAAAAACACAAGTCAGAAGACGTGGTCCATATGGAACATAATTCAAATGGACATTAGTGTTTCAAAACTCATGGCTGGTTATTATGCAGGAATCTTGCTCCAGGCCACAAAGTGCATAATTTTTATTCCTTTAATGCCTTGCATGTCTTAGAGCCTCACTTGGGGTCTTACATGCAAAAGCATGCGTTCCAGCCCCCGAGCATGTCCCAAAGTCTACTGTCTCTGCATACTCAAAACTCTGCTGTCCTGTTTCCAATAGCTAGAATCTGGAAAAAACCTGAGTGCCCGAGAACAGATGACTGGTTAAAGAAACTGTTACATCTATTCAATGGAGTACTGTGTAGCTGTTAGAAAGGATGAAGTTATGAAATTTATATACAAGTGGTACTACATGAAAGTATCATGCTAAGCAAAATGAGTCAAAAAGAGATGGACAGACAGAAAGATTGCATTTATCTGAGGAACATAAAGTAACAAAATAGGAGACTAACTCTCAAGAATAGCCAAGATAAGTACCAGGAGGTTTACTCCATGGTTTAGAGGCCAGCCACAGATGCTAGGGGAAAAGGCAGCTCAGATAGAGAAGGGAGCACCTTATAAAGGGTGTTGGGAGGATCCTCTCAGGATGGGAGATGATGTTGAAAGTAGATTATGGACCAAACATGATTGCCACTCAATGCCTCTTTTGCAAGCCACAGCACCTAAAAGGAGAGAGAGAACAAAAGGGAATGCCCTGCCACAGAGGCAGGGTGCGATGGGGGGATGGGGGATGGGAGGGATACTGGGACCAATGGTGGTGGAGAATGGGCACTGGTGGAGGGGTGGGTACTCGATCATTGTATAACTGAAACCCCAAGCACAAAACTTTGTAAGTCTACAACTGTCCCTCATGGTGTTTCACTAATAAAAATGAAAAAAACCAAACCCCAAAAAACTCTGCTGTCACCTTCTTGCTAATATGAAACGTACCCCCACTTGGATCCCTTTATCTTTTGTGCAAGAATAACAAGCCTTCCATTCCTTGCTAAGTTTATATTTCATGTAAAGACTGAAGTCAGTCTATCTACAGTCCAAATTGAAATATCCCTATTGTTGAGGAAAATAACGTGCCAAATTTGTGGTGCCTGAATAGGTTTTTTTTTTTAGCTGTATCTTTGCTTAACATCAGACTGATAATTTTCTTAGCAATAGGTTAATAGAATAATAATTTTCAAATTAAATTCTGAGACAAATTCTTAAAAAGTCACGAAATGACTTATACCTTTTTGACGTTTTAAATAGGTTGTCATATGTAGATAAGTGAAATAGATCTTCTCAGTCATACTACAATTACAAATTTATTCAATACAAATAACTTCATATCAAATGCCCATCGGCATTAGAAAAGGTATTCAAGCAGAAAGTTTGGCAAGGAGGTTGGGTGGGGCTGATAAATTCGGGAGGGAAACACTAGGAAGATGGGGGGAGGGGAAAAAGTGCCCATCACCCAGGCAGGTTGGGGGAGGAAGGTGCATTTTCTCAAGGAGCTTCCACTAATGCCAGCTTGCTTTTATTTATACAGAGAATGTGTTGCTTGCACAGACAAGCTTGCCTGGGCTCAGTGGTGAGGGAATCCCTGGGGTGGGCCAGCTGTTACGCCATAAACCTCCCGAATCATAATTGGGTAGCAGTTTTATGGGGGCTGATTAGCTAAGCCAGATCAGTCAACCAGCTATGATTAGTTAACTGACTTAGCACGTTGGTGCTCTTTGACCCCAACATATGAGAGCCTGTTGGTTGGTACATACATGGTCTTTTTGAAAGATAACCATTGTCATCTTTGAGGTTGTCAGGGTCAGGTTTGTCGTGCATTATAGGTTATAATTTTCCTGGGTCATATTTACTGATTATCAGTTTCACAGTAAGTGATAAGTAAATCAGAATCAACCCAAAAGACATGCCAGTGGCTCATTGCTATCCGTGTGTTGTAAACGCAACATGAAGTTCTTAATGGTTTGGTTTTTAGAAAAGATAAAAAGAGCATCTGAATGC